AAAGCCTGGCATGAGGATAGCGGAAGCAGTAACACATAACGCCAATAGTAGCGGACAAACTGCGACAGGTGTCCCATGCACGTCGACGAACAGTAAATTAGCCGACGGTAGAAAAAGGAATAAGAAAGTGCCGGACGATCTCGGTCGACTGCGCGCGACTCTCAATATTGAATAGCGTCACGGGATAACGTAGACAGCAAACGATACGTCCTCCAGCATTTCCTCCGTCTTTTCCTCCCCGCATTTTGCTCCGACGATGCGTGCACATCGTTCCTTAGAACAATTCGCGTGAATGGGCGAGAAGTGAACTCATAAATAATGCACAATGTTTTTCGGACGTTGCAACTCATCCTGCTCCCCTTCCCTCTTTTCCCCGAAAAAAGGAAACGAACCATTTCCAGCGCTTCACTTTCCTCCAGAGACCCCGTGTCGATACTTCCCGGAATCGTTTCCAATTTCCCCCGCCGCCCGCTATTTAACGCATTTGAATAACTTTTGTCGGACGGGGAGAAACTACTGTCTCTTTCTCCTTTCCTTCCCTTCCCTTTCCTATCTCCATCGCACTCGCTCTCCCCCACCCTCCTTCTTTCTATTTTCTCTCTTTACTTGCGTATGGTTCACGAGGCATGGCGGTAGAAGGAAAAAGAGAACATCGGCCACGATGATTGATCACCGTAAACGAAAACCCTCCCGCCTTTAAGCCGTCCGTACATTCCCAATGTCCGAAAAACATTCGTTGGTTAAGCCACCCTCCGTCGCGAATACGAAAAGAGGGGTTGGCTTCGCCCGGCGATCGCGCGCGGGAACGGCCGAACCGAATTTCCTCGAACCGTGTAGGATATTTCCTACGTGAAGATCGAACCGGGGTCGGATTTGCATTCGACCGGAATTCTCTTCGGACTCGCACGGGGACTGGTTCCGTCGAAGTGCCGGAAAACGAAAATCTATCTTTCCGGCGTTAGTGATTTTTCGTGAAATAGTCTGCCACGCGGATCGTGTGTTTAGTCGCTGGTTCGGTTCAGACTGACGCTAT